TGATGAGAGCATAAGAGGGTGGAGTAGAAGCATAAAGAACAGAAAAGCTGATTTTAATTTGCAGTTATTCCGTAATCGCCATCCTGAAGTTAATGGAACGTCAGAAGCATAATAATCAGGATTTTTGATGTCTAGCCGTTGAAACTGTATTGCAAAATAATATTAGGCAACTTTCAGTGCTCTTGCAAATGTCGTATTCTTCATCGCAGATATCGTGCCTCCACTTTTGTATTGTATTTCATTGTTTCTGCGACAAGTGAACAGTTTCAGCACCACAACGGTTTACCGCATATTCTCATTCTCATTTTTAATCGTTTTCTACTGCTGAAGTGAGGGTCTGTAAGTTGTGCTGTGGCTTGCTCCGGGAGGGGGGAGGGCTGGTGCAGTGGTTGCTCACCATCTGCCGATGACATTTTCCCGTAATAAAACTTCATATACTGCTTCATTTTTATCAACTCGTTTCTTTTGGTTAGTTAATATTAGGGAAGCGTCGACAATGGTTCACAAGCATTGGCACCCAATGGATTGCGGGAACGTCACACGCCTGAAAACGGTGAATACGGGAGAAGTTAGGAGGAGCGCCCATTTGTGTTCATGATGCACCAACGACAAAGAAAAAATGAAACAATTAACAGGAAGAATGAATTTACTATTGCTGCATAACGTTCGTTTAAAATAACTATATAAATAGCTCTGTTTTGATTTAAAGTGCATCAAAAACTACCACAAAGTGTTCATCTCTCTTATCTTCCTCGACTTGTCAACTCTCCTTCGTTTCAAACACGCAAATGTAGTATTTTCAGGAAAATCACTTGGACCTAAAGTTCTTCAATCTCATCGAAATGCCTCTTAAACTCGATCTTGTCTAAGCGTGTCCATACTCTATTTTACTTTCTTCTGTAAAAAGTTATTATATCTGATACAGTTAGTTATTTATTTTTCTGCTAATCCTCTATGTCAGCTTGGTCTTTTAAGGGAAACAAATCCATTTGGTGCAAGTTTTCAACGATTTTTCAAGAACTACAAAAAATCAAACCCACTGGAGGAAACACAGCCTCTTCTTCTAAAGCTGAATTCGTTAATAGTTTAAAATAATTTTATTATAATGTTAGCATGAAACTAGTGGTCCTCTATGTGGCAGAGGTTAAGTAGATATGAAACATTCATTAATCGGTCATGAATTTCATAAAACAAATTTTTTTTTCAGAAACTTTCATGGAATACTATTATAAAGCTATATCTAAACAGTAACAGTAACACGGACTATTCTCCAAATTTTCAAAAAAGTGCAAACCACCTTTCTCTGTCCCCAAGAGTGAACTCATGTTGTGTCACTTTCTCCATTGAAGTCGCCTCAGATTTTCGATTTGAAGTCGCACCTACCAGTGCGGACATCAGTGCTCATATGAGCGCAGCGACCCCTTAAAGCAATTTTCTCCAAGAGTCTGCCGTCCAAGTGAAGCGATTTTCTTTTCTAGTCGATTCCATTTATCACAACACCTGAAAGGTTTGAAGAAGGAAGGAATGATCATATTTCGAAAATGTCAAAATGCCATGTAAAGAACCAACGACAGCCATTTTCACATAGATCCATCTTCTACCTATCTGTCGTATTAAAAAATGGTGATAAAGGCATTCTCGTGAACTGTGGAGATAGCTGAAGGCACTCATTGGATAAAAGAGCCGAAGCTGTTTGTCCGTGCCGGATGTCGACGCACTTAACAAGTACTTCCGGATGGAATTGCGAAACCTCAACGAAACACAGTGGAATACTTGCGGATTTACCTTAGATGATTCGTGTTTCTGCCTGCATTACTTCTCGGTTTCAGCCACCCTAGGACCGGAAGGAGTATCGGAGTATCTCCTGTAATGCTAACGCATTGCTCCAACGAATTGGGTCCTCCGCTTGCAGAAATTCTCAATCTCTGCTTGCAGTTGGGCGGCCTCCGGGTATGTGGCTCGTACCCAATATCACTCCAGTCCCATAAAATGTTGCATCATTAAAAGTGATTGATTTTCGGCCAATGACGGTCATATCTTGCGTCCTGCCAGAGAATTGTACAGTTATTGTGAAGGATGTCTTTCCTGCCTCCCAGTCCCTTGCTAGCAGAATACTCAACGACTCAACGCATCATTGTAGACATTCTCCGGGGCTGTAAGTCAAAATTGAATGCGACGTTGACGGAACTAAACTTTCTGTACGCTCGGACATAGCTGTTCTATTGCTCAGTTATGCATCATTTAGTCTGAGGTCTACAGAGTTTCCAGAAATTTGATGACGAACTGGAATTCTGCTCATCTTGATATCTGTTTGTAGGTCACATGCATTGCCACTACATCGAAAACTGCTGATAAACAACTACTATATTAACTGCTGCTATTAAAATAAATTGAGTGATTATAAAGGGCAAAATTCTCCGTCATTTTTGCGCAAATCGTTCAGCCAA